CCAGGCCTTCTCCATACTATTAGTTTATTTTCTTATATTAGAAATTCATTGTTTATGATGGTTTTATTTTGGGCTCAATTTTTCAGAATTATCTTAGGCCAGATTAGACCTTCTTAGCCATCAGATAGGCAGCAAGTAATTGCTTGATTGAAAGATAATTTGTATAATTAAGAGTCTGAGATTGACTTTTGAATAATTCAGACGGCATGATAAAGTCAGGAACAGCTCATTAAGAGGCAGAGATTTGCTAAGGAATCCTTAAGTTTTTAAGGAGCATTCAGATGTTTTAAATTTTAGTAAGATTAGTTTTAATTTTGCTAATGACAGCAGATGTGTGGCAAACAGCCAGGACTTGAGCTTAAAACAGAATGTCTAGTGATATTCATGCATAAAATATCTGGTTACTTACCAAAATCATGAAGATTCTACTCCAGTGATACATATAAGTTTATTAAGATGGCAGTGTGCAAAATAGGTATTCATATCTATATTTGAGCCATTTGCTAGCATTTCTTGTTTGTGATTCTTAACACTATATAATTAGTAACATCTAGACACTTTTAAGTGAGAAGAATATCCAGAAATATCAGCCTTAGAGCAACTCATTTTCTGTTTGGTTGAATGACTTTGATCCTTGTGGAAAGGAGGGCTGTCTGAAATTTTTGACAGTGGCTTTCAGTTCAGACACTGAGTGTAGAACGCTTATTATTCTACCACCCCTTTCCTTTCACTTTTCCCTGCCCTACTCTTTGTTCACCAAAGCCAAATTTTAAGAAATTGATATGTAGATTTTATAAAGATGCTTTAGAATTTGCTTGCTGCATAGGTAAACAATAATAAAATCATAATAATCATTTAACTGTTAAATGTCAGATGTTACAAGCTATAGTTATTATTTAAATAAAAGTGTTTTAAAGCCTATTTTAATTTATTAGTATGACATTATAACCTACTTAGTATTTGGTGACTAGTTAAAAAAAGCCTTTTGGAATTTTCTATAAATGTTTTGGTTATCAAAACATAATATACTATGTTAAGTAATTTCATCAGTGGCTTTCCATTTCCTGAAAAATAATGAAGAAATATACTAAAAGTTACATAAAAGATTTTTTTCTTTATTTTAAAGGGAATTTTGCCTTTGCTAGTGCTTAGTCTGTTAACATTTAATTTATCCATAAAATCCTTGAAAGAAGGTAAATAAGAAATTCTGATCAAGATAGCATTATGAATAGATGCTTTAAGGTACCTGTTTTACTTCTCACTCATTAGAGTGATAAAATATAAAGAGAGAAAACTGAAGAAACAGCTGGGCTAAAAAAAAAAAGACATGCAATATCCAAGAAATGGGAGCAGAAAGTGCCAGATTCTGGGTCGGTAAGTAGGCACTGGCAGCCAGGAATTTAGCTTGTTTGGAGTAATGGATTTGCAAGTGCTATATTCATAGCCAGCTACTGGAGGCAGATTCACTGTTTGAACTTAATGCACCTACCACCATGCAGAAGGCTGAAAACAGTCTCTTCTGTTTGTTACCAGAGGCTATGTCTTGTAGGTAGGAGGCTGTAGTAGGGTAGGGAGGTAAGGGTAAGAAGGGAACTGAAACCTGCTATTTCCTGGCTTGGAGACTGGATTGAGCGGTAGGAATTTCAAACTGCCAGTGTGAGATCTGGTTCAGGACAGAAGGATCAGATTGAGTTCTGAGCACTCGAGCATGAGGAGGAAAGTGAAAGGATATAGCCTATTCAGAATAATATTTCAAATTCCAAAATTTAAAAGTATAGGAGGGATCAAATTGCAATATATAAATGTATCAAATCAATACATTGTGTACCTTGGATTTACACTGTTATATGTCAATTATATCAATAAAAATAATAAAAAAATACTCAAAGAATCCTAATGATAAGAAAGCCAAAATAATCGTTTATAGCCGTACCACCCTGAACGTGCCCAATCTCGTCTGATCTCAGAAGCTAAGCAGGGTCGGGCCTGGTTAGTACTTGGAAGGGAGAAAGCCAAAAAACATCAACTATCAGATATGAATGAACTCCAGATGATATTAAAATAACAGCCTCTGAAGTGCTTTAAAATCAGTTTAATTTCCTCAAAAGAATAAATGAAGTACTTAATATTTTCAATCACAAACTAGTAGAACTAAAGCCAGAACAAATCTGGAAAAGAGCCAACTAGAAATCTTAGAAATGAAAGTATAGTCACTAAAATAAAAATTTAATAGTCATAGTCAAGTAGAGAGTTCATACATTAAAATTCACCCTGAATGTGCAAAAGATTTTCAGAAAAATGAAAAAGCATTTTAAGAGGCATGAAGCTCTATCTTACATTTAATAGACATTTCAGAAAGAGACACAGAGAGAGAGAATAGAGAAATGGTGGAGAAGTATGTAAGAGATAATTGATGACAATTTTTCAGAATTTGAGCAAAATGAGGATCTTCGGATCAAAAGTACACTTTGAGTACTAAGCAGGATAAGTGAAAAGAAATTCACAAATTTAAAAACTAAAACAAGAAACAACCAACTTAAAAACATCCAAAGAGAAAAATCATAATGCTGTCAGTCCAGTTGTTGCTCTTTTGAAATAGAGTTTTTACCTGAAACTATATGCAGAAAACAAAGGGAGTGATTTGGAGTAATATCCATGAAAGAGTAAAGGAAAAATAAATGTTACCCTAGAATTTTAGACTGGCCTAAAAATTGTTCTAGAGCGAAGGCATAATAAAAACATTTTCACATATATAAAGATGGATGTCATCTATTACTAACCCATCTACATTAAAAAAAGAACTGTTAAAGTAAATATTTCTATAAGATGGAGAGTAAACCCAGAGGGACAGAAATGTTGGGAAATAAAAGACAAGAGCAAGAAATAAATAAGATGTGTTGGTAAAATAAACTATTGATAGTAAATATAAACTAATATAAACTTTTTTATTTTAAATGCTAAAATTTTAGTCAGGATTAAGATAGAAATTTTCAGTGGTTAAAGGTTTATTTTTTGTTCCAGAGGAAGGTAGAGATACTGAATAATTTTATAGATGATAAGAAAAAACAGGGAAGTATGCATGTTAAATTTTAAGTGGAATCATTACAGCAGTAGAAATATGATACAAGTTCTAAACCAGCATAGGGGATGGGGTGAGAGGAAGATATAGAAAATGTTATCAATCTAACAGGTAGCAGGAAAGCAAAATAAAAATATAAGCAAAGAAAAAAGAATGGTAAACTGATAACTGAAGATGGCAAAAGTCCAGATGTGTCACTAAGTAGTCAGATTTCATGGTGTTGCATATCATTTAAATACATTCATATTCTAAATATGGGGAAACAGTTTATTTCTATTTCATTACATATTTTCAGATTTACGTGTTCTGGATCCTCTGGTATCTCATCTGCTCAAGGACTTTGCTCTTGTGATTATCCTCTTAATCTACTACATCAGCTGTTTCTCCCTTGACTTCATCATTCCCATTTCTGTATAAAATACTACTACTGACCTTTCCTTGATTCCATTCTCCATTCCAGCTCCTGCTGAAAGTGCAGATACTGCTTTCACTTTGTCATCACCCATTCTTACCCCAACTGTTGCCTCCATCTCTGATCTTCCTGCTGAAACTGCTGTTGTCAAAAATTACCTGTGATCTCCATGTTTCTAATCCGGTATTCACTTCTGTCCCCCTCCCCCATGAAAATTACACAAATGTAACATAAATCAAACATTACTGTAAATATAGAGGCAAAAAAGGAAAGTGGTTAGACAGACTAATCAAAATGACTTGGGTTTCAATCCTTACAGTGACTCCATGTTTAAGATACTAGCTGTGTGACTTAGGGGGAAGTTATAAAACTTCTCCATGCCTCAGTTTCCTCATCTGTAAGATAAAGATAATAGTACTTACCTCAGAGAAATTTTGTGAGGATTAAATGAAATAATGCATACAAAGCACAGAGTATGGTATGTGGCACATGGCAAATGCTTAGTAAATGTTAGCTATTATTAATAAACTCTGAAATACTATTTTGTCATTGAATAAGGATATAAATATTATGAAAATTATTTTAAGGGTGAGATTTTTATTATAAAATACTTGATACTTAGAAAATATGTAGTGTATATGTAAGTTAGAAAACATATTAAAATCAACACTTGAGAATTTGTTTATCAAGGCAGTTATTTTTACCATGTTCCTGTTCCTGTTTCCACCACCAGTGCTCCACACCCTTGCCAACATGAGGTATTGTCATAGTTTTTCATTTTTTCTAATCTGAAAGTAGTAAAGTGGTATCTTGTGGTTTCATTCGGATTCTATTTATAATGAGGCAATCATCTCTTCATATGTTTATTGGATATTTGTATTTCCTTTCTGTGCAAGTTTGTTCTTGTCTTCTCCCCTCCCTCCTCTTTTTCTAGTGGATTGTTTGTCTTTTATTAATCTGGAGGAATTCTTAAATATTTTCAATACCTGTCCTTTGTTGATTCTAATTATTGGGAATATCTTCTCCTAGTCTGGGTTTTTCTTTTTTAAATGGGATCCTTTGATGAAAAGATGTTCTGAATTTTAATTGTCCATTTTTCCTTGTACTGTTTATATCTTACTAAGAAACCTGATTCTACTATAAAAATAGGCTATATTGTTTTCTGTTCGGCGGGTAAATATTGTAACATTAAAGTCATTAATCTACCTGGAATTGGTTGTTGTTGATGTGAGGTGGATTCTAATTGCCTTTTATTTATTTATTTTTTTGGCGGTGGGGAGAGTTGTACAGTAGTTTCAGTAACTACTTAATAGTCTTTCTTCATTGAATAGTATCTCTAGAACAGTTTTAAGTGGAAGAATCAACAGTGTGTCTGTCCTTGTTTTCCTTATCTGCATCTAAATTTTCACCATTGAGTACAAAGTTTAGGTTTGTTTTATCCTTTAAGGAAATTCCTTTTTGTCCTAATTTTCTAAAAGGGTGTGAAACTTGCATGGGTGTTGAATTTTATTAAATGTTTTTTCTTTAGCTCCCGACATTCTATAGTTTTTCTCCTTTAATCTGTTAATGAGGGGAATCAGTAGCTTTTCTAACGTTTAACTATTTACATTCCTAGCATAAATCCAACTTCTCTGTGATACGTTATCTTTTAAACACATTGGCAGATTGTTAGCTAATAGTTAAGATAATAGGTTTGTATGAAAGCCACTGTTTAATGTAAAAATTTTTTAAACTTTACAGCAGAAAATATGGGTGCAGAAGTCAAAGCTCCACTTAATAAGCAAGAACCTCTCCAAGTAAGAGGTAAATATATTTCTATTTTTTTGTTACAATGATGTTTTGAATTAAATATATGAAATCAGTTTATATAGAGCTCTTTATAGTTATATTATTATAAGAGTTAGGGTTAGGATTATTGACCATAAGGATTTATTCTCCTATTTACAAGCTAATTTTCTATTGAAGTTCACTTTGCATTTTGGTCACAAATTTTGTGGAAATTGCTTTTTTCAAAAGCCCAAGGAAAGGAGTAATAACAAATAAAGTCGTCAATTACTTTATGATTTTAGAAAAGTAAAGTAATTAAAGAACAAGAGATCAGCACCTTTCAGCTGCAACTTTTTCAGATCCAGGTAGAAAGTGGACATTCTTGTCTGACTTTTCTAGGAGTGATTGTGTGATTAGGGAATTCTTGTTTGCAGCTCTGTTTTTTATAATGAGCTATGGCTCCCAATGAGCTATGACTCCTCTTTCCAAGTCAGCATGTTTCTCGGAGACAGTAACTGTGATTAGGAGCACTGTGGCTTTGGAGTCAGTCAAAACTGGATTAAACTTGTGGTCCCAGCATGTACCAACTGTATGGCTTTGGGCAGTGTATCTGACTTCTCTGAGCCATAGTTATCTCCTCTATAATATGGTGCTAAAAATGGAACTACTTTTGTAGGATAATTTTGAAGATGATGCATAGTGTGCACTCGCAATTAAGAATAATATTGTGAAAGCAGTTATTGTCATTAATAATCTGGGGCAGGACAGGCCAAAAGGGATTTCTAGCCACTTTGAAAAAATTTTTAAAAAGTAATTTTTTTAAACTAATCTTTTAAAACAGAGATGTAATTCCCCTCCGTGCTCCAGAGGACCTCATCTGGATTTTGAGTTTTAGGATTATTGGAGAAAGGCAGTTCAGAGACTTGAACTCATTTAAAAAGAAACTTGAACTGCTTTATAGTATGTTTTTTTGGAATAAGGTTTTGATTTTTATATTGAACTTTATTTTTGAAATGTTCTTCTTAAGTATTATTTGTGCATTTGATTATAATACTTCATGTTATTTTAAAGTCTTTTTACCTACTGCAGTGATAGATAATTTTAGTCTTAATTTGCTCTTTGAACTTGAAAGTAGATCAGAAAATTGATGAATTAATAGATATAAGAATAGAATATGCAGTGACTAGGTGACAGGTTGTAACAGAATACACGAGTTTCTTCTGTTGTTTTGCTCTTGCTCTTCAGGTATTTGCTTATGTTATTTATATCACGACCAAGTCTTACTTTATGACATATAAACATAGACCAATGTTGAATGTAAATTAAAAAAAAAAAAATATCTTTATTGACTTCAGAGAGAGGAAGGGAGAGGGAGAGAGTGATAGAAACATCAATGATGAGAGTCCTTGATCGGCTGCCTCCTGCACTCCCCCTTCTGGGAATTGAGCCCGAAACCTGAGTATGTGCCCTGACCAGGAATCGAACTTCGATCTCCTGGATCATAGGTCTGTGCTCAACAGCTGAGCCACGCCAGCTGGGCTTGAGTGTAATTTTTAATTCACAGATTATAATTGATACCAAATTGGTATTCTGTTATTGATGTTCTGGCTTTTTTATGAACAGTTTGATAGTTGGTAATAGGTAAATAATTTGATAGAAGAAAGTCTTTTACCTATAATCTATAATAAACTTCTTATAATTTTTAACTGATAAAAATGTTCCTTTTGTTTACTTCAGCTTTGTTGCATTATGTGAAACAGTCCCATGACTTTCATACTTTTTTACTACAACCCACACAAGAAATACTATTAATAACTTGGTTTATATATAGATTATCATATGTAACTGAAACAAAAGGTTTCACAAAAAGTACTTATTCTTAATTTCATGCAGTACTCTGATTACTTTTTATTTTCATTTTTTATAAAATGCTGGTTTTACTCCAGTTTTAAAAACACTGAAGTAGCCTGTAATTTTTTAACTAAAACTTAAATTTATTTTTATTTAAACTCCAAATGATTTAAATTGTATTTATACAATTTAAACCAACCAGTGATACCTATACAAGGTGTCCGTTAGACAAAGGGTTGGCATTTTGACATCAGCTACAGATAAAATATGGAGATAAAAGCTAGATGGCTACAAATGTAATTCCATTCTATTCTGCACTTGGAGAATTTTTTTTCTGATGCATCAGGGAAAAGATTGATATTTTATGAAATTTATTAGCGAAGCCTCAGCATATGTTCATTTTTAAATATGACTTTTGTTGTGCATATTTTTTGTTTTCCTGTATTTCTTGGTTTTAGTCAAAGCAGTCCTTAAGAAGAGGGAGTATGGACCAAAGTACACTCAAAATAATTTCATCACTGGAGTCAGAGCAATAAATGAGTTCTGCCTTAAATCCAGGTACAGATATATTTTTTTAAGTGGTAATTTGATCTGTCTAAACTAAATGACCATTTATTTCTTAGAATGTGTTACCTGCTACCATCCATGTGGAAACTTTCCCATGGCTTCTTTCTAAATTAAAGAAAAAATTTTTTTTTTGGTTAAAAAATGTTAAAATTATTTGCTTACCAAATTGAAATCTGCTCCACCATGAGCAAATTCAGTCTTTCTGGGCTTAAGATGAAAAAAGCAAGTTTTTCAAAACCTCTGTATCACACAAGATCTTAGGAGTTTTGTTTTTATGTTTGCAGGAGTCAGAATTATCAGTAATAAGATTATTTGCATATTTTTATGTTTGACCTTTTAAAGTTTTCCTTTTTTCTTAGCAGAACTGAGTAGTACTTAATTTAGTTAGTACATTTACGTTTATATTTCATATGTGGTTTCTGTTGAGTATAAATTATTTTTACTTCTTTCTAGTATCTTTTGTTACTAATTTTCTTGCAACCATTATATTTGTCACATATTTAAAATTTTTCCCTTCCTTTGTGTGTTTACCTAGAAAAGTCATATTTATGTGGAAGATTTCTTGGGTTTTTAGAGCTATCAGATCTATCCTTTCCCCCCCTCTCCCTCATGGTCATCCTCTACGGTATAGTATCAAAAAATAAGGAATCCCTTAAAAATTTTTTTAATTTATTGATTTTAGAGAGAGGAAGGGAGAGGGGAAGAGAGAGAGAAACATTGATTGGCTGCCTCCTGCAAGCCCCACATTTGGGATCAAGCCTGAGCCTGGGCATGTGCCCTGACCAGGAATTGAACTGGTGACCTCCTGGTGCATGGGACGACGCTCAACCAACTAAGCCACACGGTCCAGGAGAAATAAGGAATCTTAAAATCAGTTTTATAATTTATATAACTACTTAAACAATCAGTTATAACATTGATGTAAAAGTATATTCTGTTTCACGTGGAGTATTTTATTTAGTTCTCACAAAAATATGTGGATTAAGTAGGTTAGGTATCGCTATCTCCACGTTATAGGCCAGGAAACATAATAAAGATGTTAGTGATGACCTAGCTTATTTAGTGAGTCAGTGACTGAGAGGAAACTAGAATAATCTTTTAATAGCTGGTCCAAACTGTTTTACCTGCATGTGATAGCTGGTTGAACTCCAGGTTTAATTTCTAAAACTTGATAATATTCCATAGTTAGCACATTTTAATTTATAGGTCTTTTTATTGCCATTACAGAATTTTCTTAGTATCACCAATAATCAAATATAGGGTGATATTTGATATTTAGTTGTGACTTGATGAATATATAAACTTTTCAGAATTTAAAAGAAGGGAAAAATATTAAATAACATGAAATTGACATATAATCTTTGTGACTTGATTCTTTTGAATGATACTAACACTTAGTATTAATCTGGATGTGAACAAATAGGACCATAAATTTTGAATTCTTAAATAGAGGGATGATACTCTAATCCATATTCTTTCTAGTTTTCACATTTTTTTAAAAAAATATATGAGACATTGCAGTGCTGTTGTCCATAGCAGATAAAATGTAAACACTTATGAAGGAACTTAATCTCTACATATTATTTATGGTATCTGTATTGAGCATCAAAAATTTTTTTTTAAAATCCTCACCCAATGATATGTTTAGAGAGAGGGAGAGGGAGAGAGAAAGAGAAACACATTGATTGGATGCCTCCCATACTCACCCCAACTGGGGATTGAACCCACAACCTAGGTATGTGCCCCGACCAGGAAATGGACCCACAACTTTTTGGTGCATGGGATGATGCTCCAACCAACTGAGCCACCCGGCCAGGGCAAAAATACTTTTTTCTTCTCACTGTCTGTAGACCAGTGTTTGTGTACAAAATGCAGTCTTTATAAACTGATCTTTAAATACTATACAGAGCTATAGTCTTTTAAGATGAGGATCAATGCAGTGGCTATTATCTGCTCTTAATAATCCTTTGAAGTACATAAACTGAAGGAACATTGTCTGAATAAATTTAACGTGTTTCTTTCTTCAGTGATCTGGAACAACTTCGAAAAATCAGACAACGAAGTCCCCATGAAGATACTGAGTCCTTTACTGTATACTTAAGATCAGATGTGGAGGCAAAGTAAGAGCATAGTTCTTTTAGAATAAAAGTACAAGCCAAATTTGGTATTAATAAAGACACATTTTAGACAGACCCAGAATTTTTTAAATGACATACTTTTATTTTTAAAGTAGAACATTTTTATATTTGCAAATTTATCTGGGAGTTACTAGTATATACTCAACTAAAAATATGTCCTAATTTATAAGAAAATTTGCTGTTGAATTTACTGTTTTGTTTAGATTTAGTTTAGAATTTTCTTAAGTGCTTCATATTTTTTCTAAAGGACCTTATGCTTTGTTGTAGCATTCTCATATAGTTTCTGTGGTTCATCTCGATTTAAATACGATTACAATAAAGTCATTAAAATTGTTCATTGTTGTTCGTCATGTGTTCACGCATAGATCTTTGGAAGTTTGGGGAAGCCCTGAAGCTCTTGCCAGAGAGAGAAAACTGCGTAAGGAAGCAGAAATAGAATACAGAGAAAGTAAGTATATTCAGTGAAAAGCTAAGTTAATTGGAAAGTAGAGTCGTATTCAGAGATAACGTTCCAAACCACCACAGTAAAGCGAATATTGCAATTAAGTGAGCCATAATCTTTGTTGGGGCGGGGTGGAGGAGATGGGATTTGCCTTCAGTTTTTAAAAGGTACAACATTTGTGAAGCACAGTAAAGCGAAGTTCAAAATCGAGATGTTCCCATAACTTGTAAGTAACAATAGTGCCTATAATTATTTACTCCCTGGTGGTTGCATACCTTTGGCTTTGGCTCTGTTGGTTGTAGCAAGTAGCAGTATCCATTTGGGATTCAATTATTTTATAAAAACAATATTTTGTTTTGTTTTGTTTTTCCTCTGTAGCTTTTTAAAGATCATGAGAGGAAGTGAAGCTAGTTTGTGATTTCCAAAAGACATGAATATTAAAACCAATGGTCTGATTTGAAGATTATAGGTGTTCTAAAAGTGATAGAATAGATGTTGCTCTCTTATAGAAAAGTCTGTTAAATTCAAGTACCACAGTTCTACCTTAATTAACTAATTCAGCATCTATTTATCAAACCTCTGTGAACTAGAAATTACATGCTTGAGATTTAGATGCACATAAAGCTCTTCGGAAATTTAACAACCCAGTGGTTTAGTGACAAAACCACCTTTATAGAATTAGGATTTATATAATATACGTTTTAGATAATTGATTTATATATGTGTGTATATATATGTACTGATTAATGACAAATGAGATGCATAATTGTGATTTTATAAACGATACAAAAACATAATAAAAAGTCTCTTTTTGATTCCTCTAATACTGTCTCATTTTTCTTCCTAGAGATAACTATTGAAATTTTCTCTTTATGTGAATAAACCATCAAATAGATATAAACATTTACATGATTCCAAAGTCACATCTTACAAAATATTTCAGAGAAATTTAGCTTCCATCCCCGTCCTCTCCACCCTGTTCCCTTCCTCTCGCATAGGAAACCATTTGAAAGTTAGTTTTAGGCTCTGGCCAGTGTGGCTTAGTTGGTTGACCATGGTCCAGTGCACTGAAAGGTCGCTGGTTCAATTCCCAGTCAGAGCACATGCCCAGATTGCAGGTTTCGCCCCTTTTGAGGTGCGTACAAGAGGCAACCAGTGGATGTTTCCCTTCCTCCCTCTCCCCCTAAATCAATTTAAATAAATAAATAAATAGTATTAGAGTTATATTTTCTATTTTTAAAAAATATAAAATAGCATACATATATACATGTATTACATATAAAACGTAGTAAAATAACATATCACTACCCCTTTCATAAGTAAGACATACTAAACATACTTTCTGTCCTTGCTATTTTTACTTGAGAGTATGTCCTAGGGGGCATTCTATAGCAAAAAAAGAGTCTTGTCTTTGTTTCTTTTATAGCACTCCATTATTGGGGGTTATACTATAGTTTATTCAGTCATTCCCCCATAAGTTGTTTCTGGTCTTTTGCTATTAAAATCATGATACCAGGAATAGCTTTGTCCATATATTAAAGGAAATATTTAAAGTAGCAAAATTTGAAAAAACACGGTAGTAGGAAAATATTTCGTCCTGTATTTTTAAACTGAGTTAAAGATGAAGAATTGTTTCTTATATCAAGCTTAAATAACTCATTAATTTTAGGTAATTTTGATAAGAGTGCCTTATCAAACTGCCTTTTTCGAATTGTAAATCCAGATTTCTCCCTGCCTTTTTTTTTAATTATGGTAAAAAAAAAAAAAAAAAAAAAGGAAAAAAATTTGGAAGTGTTAAGTATATTCACATTGCTATAAGAAACAATTCTT